CCCCGTGTTCAGCTTCTCGCTCGGGCCGCACCTGGTCGTGGTCCTCAGCGACTTCCGCAGCGTGCGCCAGGCGCTCGTGCAGCAGGCCGCCGTCTTCAGCGACCGCCCGCGCGTGCCGCTCGTGTCCCTCGTCACCAAGGAGAAGGGTGAGCCGGGCCTGGGGCCGTGGGGCCCGCACTCTGCCCCCCGCACCCGCCCGCAGCCTGCGCCCCAGGGCCGGGGGCGGCTCCCCTCCGGGCCGCAGGACCCCGCGAGCTGCGGTGCATGGGCAGTGACGCGGACGCGGTCGGAAGGGGGGACCCCCGGGAGTCGAGGGGGGCACAGGGGTAGCGGGGTCCCGTCTGTCGGGGGCCCTCGCCCGCCCAGAAGGCAGCCTCCCTCTCGGGCTGTGTCCCGGGGAGGCCGGGGGCCGAGTTAGGAGGAGGGAGGGATGTCCTTTTTCCCCTCTGCGTTCCGAGCGCACGACTGCAGGAAGACGCGTTCCCGTGAGATGGAGAGGCCCAGAAACAGGCCGGGAGCCCGTCGGCACACCGAGCGCCCCGGCCCAGCTCTGTGCCTCCGGCGCGGGGAGCCCGAGGGGGCGGCCTTTCGGGCTGGGACCGGGTCACTGCCGCGGGCCGGGGAGCGGGGGGGTGTCGCCTTTGCTCTCTCCGGTACTCCGCTCATTGACCTGCGTTTTGCCCTTGGTGTATCAGCCTTGCCCTCGGCTTATCGGCTGGCACAGGTCCCGGACGTGTCCGTCGGAGTCACTCCTGCGCAGGCAGGCAGGTGTGAATTTACACGTCTTTCCCTCGGGACCATCTCCGAGTGAGGGAGGGCCCTTGTGAACTGTCACGGCACAAGGACGTTCCTTCACTGCGCTTATCCAAACGGAGGCTACCTGACTTTGTCACCGTGGGCCTGGATGCGGGTCCTCACCATGAGGCTGACATGTAGGTGGACGGAGGAATTCCTCGTCCTGCCTGGCATGTGGTAGAAGCCCGATGAGTATTTATTAAGTAAATTCACTACTTCTGTCCCTGGAACGCAGCATAGAGATCCAGGCTCTTTAGAATCTGATTAAGCCAGAGTTTTGCATCAGGATTTTAAGTGAATAGTAATAATGATCATAATATTCTAAATATCCCGCTGAAAAACCAGTGTCACAGTTCACAGATCACCCTCTCAGTGCTGCTGCCTCCACCTGGAATTCTCCCATCTCATGGCTGCCTGGAGAACTCCTGCCTGCTTTTCTTGTCTTTTCCCTCTTTTTTAAAATTGTGAGAATTTACCATCTTAACCATTTTTAAGTGTACAGTTCAGTGGCATTAACTCATTCAGATTGTTGTGAAACTATCACCACTATCTCCAGAATTCTTTTCATCTTGCAAAACTGAAACTCTGTACCCATTAAACAAACATTGAAAACCCCATTCCTCCTCTCCAGCCATTGGCAGCCACCATCCTACTTTGTCTCTGTGAATTTGACTGTTCTAGGTACTTCATGTAAGTGGATTCTACAGTATTTGTCATTTTGTGACTGACACATTTTACTTAGCATGTTTTAAGGTTCAGCCAGGTTGTAGCGTATGTAAGAATTGCCTTCCTTTTCGGGACTGAACAATATTCCATGTCTGTGTACTACACTGTGTTCATCCATTTGTCCTCTGATGGACACTTGGGTGCTTCCACCTTTTGGCTATTGTGAAAAATGCTGTTATGAACATGGTATGTATACAAATGTCTGCTCAAGTCTCTGCTTTCAATTCTTTTGGGTATATACCCAGAAGTGGAAAATAACAAGTGGTGGATTTTTTGAGTGACTGCCATACTGTTTTCCACAGTAGCTGCAGCGTTTACATTCCCGCCAGCAATGACAAGGGTTCCAACTTCTCCACATCCTCACCACCACTTGTTATTTTCTGTGTTTTCATACCTGCTTAAATGTCCCCTCTTGGAGAATGTGTTCCCTGACAAACCTCTCTACCCTCAGGTAGAGGTGAGCTGTCCTTTGTCTAAGATACCACTATTTGATCCCATCCCCTACCAGTCAGTCAACAAGTCTTGTCAGTTCCTGCTGCAGATAGGAGCTCTACATCCCGCCGCTTCTCTCCATCTCGGTTGTTACTGCCCTGCGAGCCTTCTCTCCATCTCTATTGTTAGGGGCCTCCGCTGAGCCATCCACCCGCTTCTCTCCATCTCCATTGTTTGAGTCTTCATCCAAGCCACCACCATTTCTCAACTGATACTAAGAAGCCTCTTAATTACCTGCCTGCTCCTGCCCCACTCTTAATCTACACAACAGCCAAAGGGATCTCTTTAAAAAATCATGAATCAAACTCTGTCACTCCCCAGCTGAAACCAATTGCCTCCATCTCCATACTTGACCTGCTATGCCCTGAAGACTCTGGCCCTGCCTGCCTGTCTGACTTTATCTCTTTCCACTCTCCCTTTTCTTGTGCATCTCAACCTGCTCTAGACACACTAAGCTGATTCCTGCCGAGCTTGTGACTTCCTCAGGCTGCTGGGTTTGTCATCCGTGGGCCTGGAATAACCTTTTACTTGACTGACTCCTTGTCACCCCTCAGGCTGGTTGTCACCGTCCAGTCCTATTTTAGACACTGCCCAATACTACGACTTATTTTATCTCATTCCTATTTCACTCATTAAACACTTTGAAAGTATTTAGCCTATTACCAACTCCACCTACCCCTGGAATGTGAGCTCCGTGAGGGCAAATATTTTGTTCATCGTGTTAACCCCTGTATCCCGACTAATGGACACAGAGTAGATAATCAAGAAATGAAGGAATGTGTGCATACAAATACATTATTAAGTATTTATTACAAGATATTTTTAAAGAATTTTGCCACTAAAAACTAGCAGAGAAGGGAATGTTTCATAAACAGTAATGTGCGTAGAGCGGCTGGAAACACTTAACACATTGCCAAAAAGTTCTGGAATGGGGGAGGTTATTATATTTGAGTTTTTCAAATATCATGCTTAGACAAGTTAATGGTCTTTTTAAGCACATAAAAATTGCAGTAAGCTAGACAGGCTTTGAAGATGTTCTACATTAGCTGTGCCCATCATACTCATAAACCCATGTTGTTCTCTTCCTGAGCAGGAATAGAAGATAGAGTTACAAAGTCGGTAAAAGCTTCCAAGAGAGAGCTTTACTCTAAGTGTGGTCTATTTCTTCTAAAAGGTTTGTGCCCATCAGATTTGTATTATAAAATATTCCAAATATAAAGTTCAGAGAGCAATATAAACTCATTTATCCAACATTCAGATTTGCTTCAGATTCATAAACAATATATAGCTTTATTTGGTATGTTTTTTAAAAACTTACATATGTTGTATATTTAAAGTATCTATCTACTTCTAGCTTTTGTTGATTTATCCATTTCCCTGTTGATAGAAATTAGATCATTTCTAATTTTGAGAGATTGATATAGACTGGGAGCAAGAGTCAAAGCAAACTGCAAAGCCATAAAAATGGCAGGCAACGGGAACTTGAGGAAGCTTGAAAGTACAGCAGTGATCCACACTGACTACCTTGGAGGGGAACAAGATGCAAAATGAAATTAGGAGATAGAAAATGAAAGTCCATCTGGGGAATTTGAAAATGAATGAGGAAAACAAGATAACTGAATCTTGTAGTAAATGCAGTAAAATAGATATTCATATCGTGAGGGCCTGAATTCCCACTAAGAGGAACATTCTGTGACCCTTAAAATGGAATCATATTATTCACACTCTTTAAAATTGTTTTTTCCCTTAAATTGCTGTGAATATATTTCCATATTATTAAACATTCTCCTGCAAAGTTCTTAAGAGCTGTGCAATATTCCTTTGTGAGAATGTCTTATAGTCAGTTTAGCCTCCCCCTTATTGGTTTGAGGTGGATTTTGTCTCAACTGTCCAGTTCCTGTTCCTGACAAGAGCACCCTCTTCTGAGGGACTCTTGGTCCCTACCACCCATTGGCACCCATTAACTATGGCTGGAACGGGAGATGCTGTATCTTCACGGGAACTCCCCTCCCTGGCCACAGTGAGTAGTTGAGGGATAGACCCTTGACCAAAGGGGGAGGGATCAGAATATCTCACCTCTTTGTAACAGTTAGTGTGGGCTGGGCACTGAAGTCAAGAATTCATAACTACAGGTCTATCCTCACGTGGTTTTGGGGTAAGAATTTATACTTGTGGCGTAGTATGGAAACCTCAAGCCACAAAATAAACATAAGGTGTCCCAAATTGTTATCATTGTGAGATATCTAACTGAAGCATTTGAATCCTTCCGCAGTATCTTTCAGGTCGGACCTGGAGAACAGAGGGCTTTTCTCTCTGGGGGTGAAAATGGGAGTATACACGTCTCAAGATAGCTCCCGATTTGTGGAGAAGCTGGTCTGCAGTGGGAAAGAATGAAGTCAGTCGGGTAGCAGGAAAGAGTTCTGCAGCATTTAGTCTTCCCTGAGGTGACACCTGGCCCTTCACGGTTTTTCGTTCCACAGCCTAATTAGCCTTTTTGCTAAACATGCTTGAGGGTATATTTGTGTTATTCCCAGCCAAAAGAGTCCTGGTTTTTGCTCTGGAGCCGTTTTTATTTTTCAGTGTTGTTATCCTCCTTGAGATGAAGTCTTTGTGTACATCCGTGTACACTTGGTGTACAACCATTGCTTTTCAGGGCTAAAAATGGAGAAGAGGTCAACAACTGCAGGATGTGACTGAACCTATTCCAGACACTCACAAGCCCCAACGCCACTCTGACTCCACAACATGGGTGTTTTGTAAAGTTGGGAACCCCGAGGCTGTTAATTCTGTCCATGTCTCTCATCCCTGGCTTTCTCAGACACTGTCTCTTTGGTCACCTCTTCTGTCTTGCACCTTATTCCTATCAGCGCATCATCAAAAACCTCAATGCTTAAATATTAGCCTCTTCCAGGAAGGTTCCCTCCACTTCCTTGCCTTATCTACACCTGATTTCTTCCTGAATATAGTTTAGCCCTTCTTGAAACACCCTCTTTGACTTTGCTTAAGCTGTTTTTCTAAGAGGTGCCTTCATACACATCCTTACTTACAAATTATGTATCAGCTCAGATGTCCTCTCTTCTGAGAAGTACTGCCTTCCCCAGCTGACATGGTGCTCCTTCCTCTGTCTACACTG